TAGGAACAAAAATTCCTACTTTTTCAGTATTTTAAAATAGCAAACTCAGAAGTTTGCTGCTTCAATTTGCTCAGAGGACTTGGAGAAGTGTCCAAAAACTCACCTGTTCTCTCTGAGGCAGCTACTTTAATCAGTGTGTTTTTCTCTGCAGACCTTACTTTGTTCATTCGTGATTTCATTCTGCATCCGTGTATGCCCTAGGGATTCAAAATGAGGATGACACTTTTTTGTATCATTATTAATAAAGCTGTTATACCTTTTCACATATTATTCAGCAGAATATTTTCCATTTTAGCTCCTCACTTCAGCTTTTCCTTTACCTCCTGACTTGAATGTAATTTTTACTTTGTCAGAATAAATGTACTGCCAAAAACTGAGTGTTCTACATAGGTAATTATTGATATTCCAAAAATCTCAATTTTAGGGCATTTTGGTTTCTTAAGTGATGCTGTATTTGTGAATGCTGCTTATAGAAATGATGCCTACTCTGTTTTTGCCATGCATACGTATCCTCTGTGCAGGTGGCCATCCCCAAACTTTCATTCYGTGAGTGGAAGATGCTGCTTTAATAATCCCAGGAAATAGCGACGCGTTAATCATAGGCATGAGACAGCGCCGTGTGCTTTGTCCCACTTGAACSAAACGGCTGCATCATCCAGCTCTGAAAACCCAGACTTACTCAGCCTGGCAAAGGGAATTATAAAAAGCTTCCTTAGTAACATGAAAGACTTCTGGCTCTTTATGCAGAAAAATAGCCCCAGTCCCCTCCTCCAAAATGTAAGAGAATAGTTAGAACCGAGATGGGAATGTGGGTGTTGGAATATGCGGCGCTGTAGGATGCTCTGCTAAGCCTGCTYGTAGCGTCGTGACCTTGTCACATCTCCCTTCTGCATCTTTTTTTAAGGCCTTTCTCCAAACAGCATGAAATAAATAAATTGTGTTTGCCAGTGTTAAAACCTTTCTATTAGATCTCCCTGGTAATAACAAAGTTTCATCTCCGTGTCCCTTTGTACTGTGAATAAATGAAATCAAAAAAAGAAGAAAAAAATCTAGAGCAAGGCAATCCCTGCTTATTACAAGGGTCTTTATCTCATAAACTGCATTAATTTGGCTTGTTACCTGTGACTTCTGGAATAAAATGTACATAGGGAATTTTCTCCTACACTGCCTTCCAGTGAATCTCCATAGAACTGTTGCTGAAGTGTCTTGGGTAGGAGAGAAAGGCTGCTGAGAGGAGCACTGCACACACCAGCATTTCAGATCTAAGCCTTGAATGAGCTGGGCCTGGCCCCAAACTGCTTTGTTTTCTCAAAGAGCCAGAGTTTAAGAGAGTTTAATGCAAAAAGTGTCCTCCCATCATTGAGAACAAGTTTAAAAAGACAAGAGAAAGGAGATACCAAGTACCTGCCTAGGTAAAGTCTGACCAAGAGCTTTGCCACTGCTGGGAAGCAGGAGAAGAAAAAATAAATACTGATTAGTAATGTTAATTACTAATCTTAATTACTTAATGTTAATTAAGATATTCCAGCTGTGGGATTTTGCACAAAGGTTGAATTTTAAATGGAGCTTGATGGTGAGAAAAGGAGAGTTCTTCAGAGCCTTGAATAAAATGTACTTTGCAAGTAGAAATAGGAACAGATCTTACCCAGGGCAATGTGTTGCATTGCACTTGTGGCTGTGACAACTACGAGGTGAGAAAGTCAAATGACAGTCAATGCAGATGCTGTTTCTTGCAAGGACACAGATCCAAGTGGAGAAAAACCAACTGGGGAATGCTTGAGAGTGTTGGCCCCRGGGATTCCTCCTTTCAGACTATTGCCCCTGTTCCCTGAGCCCCGCTTGTGGGCCAGGAGGTCACCATGACGTGTGGGGCAGGATGAGGTCCCCTGGGAGCTGCTGTGGCCAGCCAGACCCCATGGCTGGGGCAGCCCTGYGGGGTCTGGCACCTTTGTGGGCAGCTGTGCCTGCCTTCGGAGCACCCAGGGCAGCCTGGAGAAAGCTCCTTGTTCCCTTCTCCTCTGCCCCGTGCCTCAGAGATCCAGGAGAAGAATTTGTGCCCAAGTTTATAAATGAAATGCAGGAAAGGGGTTGTTTTGTCTTGAAACGGAAAATGTTGCAATATGTTTAAGTTGATATGCTTGTCACTTCGCTTGGATGAAAATCTGGGCGAAAATGAGGAATAGAAAGCAGGTCTGATGTGTGCAGAACATCTGTTTTATTGTTTAATTTGCCATTCGCGTTGTGTTTCTTTTGCAGTCCAGGAACGGAGGGAGCCCTTCCAGCATCTGAATTTTCAAATGAGTGACTGCCTAGCCTCAGGGATAAACTCGCAGCCTCCTCTTGCAGAAACCGTGAGTTCCTGTTTAGTTTATTCTTTCATTAAAATGCTGTTTATTCTTGCTTCAGTTTGAGAGTAAAAGCCTGTCTGTATTCTGAAAAATGACTAACAACCACATGGTACATGATGTGTTCCTCCAGAATACTTTTCAGATGGCCAAAGTAAGGGAAACAAAAGAGATGGCAGAAAGAACATCCTTTTGTCTCCCAACAGGCAACTCGGCCTCAGGTTTGAAGAAGATCAAAGAACCTTTAGGTGATATTCAAGGAAGGCTGAAAGTTTCAATCAAARTGTTCTTCAAATACTATTTAACTGCCTCTTAGTCAACAGGGTTTTGACAGATTTGTTCTTGCATCACTGAAGATGTTGAGTCATCAACTCTTTAATTGCAGGCTTATATAAGCCCKTTGAAATTTCAATTTTGCATCACGTCACGCAGACACAGATCTGTAGTGCTGGCCAGACACTCAAGGACATCCTCTTTTTGGAGCTTGCTTGAGGGTCACCTGCAAMTTTTAGCCTCCCTGGATGAGAAGAAGGCCCAAGCCAGGCAGAATGTCCAGAGAGTCCAGCCTCTGGTTTAGAGCTGAGGCCCAGCATCCCTCCCCTTGGGAGTGGCAGGATCCAGACCATACTCTCTGTTTCCTAGTTCTTTGTTATGTTCTGAGAAAATGAAACCAATATATGTCAGTTAACTGGTTAATAGGGTAAAGACCCTACAAAGCCATATAAATGCCACCTGACTCACCAAAAGCCACCAACACTGGTGCATATGAGACTGTCTCACTTTCCATCTTACTGCAGCTGGGTCTGCTCAACAGGAGCAATTAACTGACCTGGACTTAGAGTGAGCTGAACTCAGAGCATATTGAAATGCTTTGGAGTGGGGAGCACAGGATGCTMCTGAAGAGCCTGTTAAGACTTTCTCTGTACCTGAAGGCATCTCACTAACCTAAAAATATGTGCTCCATAATGCACCTTTTTCATCAAGTATGAGGAAGATCAGGGACTTGGGTGCCTTTTCTGCTACAGAGGAGAGAAGAACAAACTGGGCTGCTTAGCAGCTTCTTTAGAAGAACCTGGGCAATCCATTTGTTTTAATGGTTGTGTCTTGCATGCCAGCAGGATGCCAAGAGCATGTAACCCAGCAGTTTGTTATGCAAGTAGGATGTCTGCAACCTTGCTTTTGTTAGTACTGTAATCATTTGCTGCAGGCAATCTAAAGGATGACAGATGCCACTACTGTCACATCCCCGAGAGCGCCTGAGTCGAGGAGCTGTCTCCCATGGGCACATCTCTCCAGCAAAGGCAGAGAAGAGCAGCAGGTGCTCTTTCCACATACAAAATATATTTAAGTAGGAGGGTGTCCTCATGTTCAAGGATCGTTTTAAGGTGCTCCRGAGCTGGGCTGCATGAACAGACACACGTTCCCACTGAGAACTCCCAGTGCAGACGGTCTCCGAATGCAAACTGCTCCAAGCAGAGACTTCTACATGCTCCCCTCCTGGCTTCTCGGGCCTGAAAACAGCCCCARGGTGAAGAGGAGGGACAAAGCAGCCTGCCTTGCTCCATCACTCCATGCGGAATGGACTGTGGGGCCCTCCCTGATGTCTCTGTGGCRCAGCCCAAGCTTTGGGGATGTCCCGCTGCTGGCACAGCTCCTGCCTGTTGGAAGGAATGAGCTGTCATGCTGGCTCCACAGCGGGAATACTGGTGCTCCTCAGCCTCTGAGCACATCCAAACCCTGGTTATGAAGCCAGAAGACCACTGTAGTAACCCAGATCATGGTGCTATGTAGCTGGGGTGGCAGATGTTCCTGAAGGACACAGAATTAATGGCAATGATAGAGAGTTAGCCATACCTCTGGCTCTACACCGATGAGTCCTTGTCCAAAAAGATTATCTTTTTGTGTGTTTTTTTCTGTGCCTTTTCAGTATTTTATTAGCGAAGTTTTTTCCTTTTTTCCCATTCACCTACTAAAATTGTGCTGTCAGAGGCCTGGACAGTTTTGCACAAAAAGACGTGCAATGAGTAAGAGTTGTTGAGAGCAAAGTCTTGCAGTAACAATTTCTTACTGACGGGCAAATTCAGCAGCAGGTCAGAGAAATCAGGCACATGTGAGAAGCAGAGTCCTCCTGGGTCTTGGCTGTAATGCAATTAAGCTTTGGAGCTCGCTGTCCCCTTCACCCTGCTKTGTGAGAGCAGCCTTTGGTATCACCATCGGAAGCCACCTGAATGACAGCCTTGCACAGCCTCAGACCTCGAGCTGGACCTGTTGAGACGGAGCTGTGGCCYCCCACAGCTCCGGAGGAGGTAGACCTGTCCTCCCACTGCAACCAACTTAATTACTTCTCTATTATTTTTCTTGCCTACTGCTTATTCCCAGAGATTGTGGCAAACTTGATATCTCTGCCACTTAGGCGAAGAGCCTCTTTGAGGAGAAGTCCCAGCCTTCTCCATAATTATTTATCTTAATAATCAATAAAGTCTTGATACAAGTCAGCAAGCTGAGTGGCATCAGTTGGTGCACCAAGAGGCTCATCCAGTCCCTTCGGAGAAACAAGGAACAGCTGTGGATGGGAGACAGGRCACCCTCCTGGGGGTTGTGGTAGTACAAATAGCCCTGTTATCCTGAGAAACTCCTTCTCAGGAGGGAATTAATAATTTTGCYACATATTTACCACACATCTTTTTAGTGGCCTTTGGACAGGGACTCAGGTTTGCACCTGAATGAAATGATTCTGTACAAACACAGTAAACTGAAGCGTCTTGTAAAGGGTTGGAAGCAGAGGGGAGGAAAAATTGGCTTTAAAGCTAATTAAACTGAAATATGGATTGTGCTACAGAGTACCCTGAACTTCTCTCTCCCTCTAGATACTCACACAGCTCTGATTACAGTAACAAAATGTCCTGAATGCAAAACTCAAATCTGGGGACTCTGTCTAGTTCTAATTAAGTTCAGAAAAAAGTTAAAGCCCTGAACAAGTTAATTCCAGACTACATTTTATTAGACGGTCTTTTGACAGTAAGTTTTAATAACATCGAGACTAGAAAAAGTAATAGTTACATCTTASCTTGGGACTACAAGGCAGGTAAGTGATTATTTAATGATGCATTGGCATAATTTTCTCCATGGAATTTAAGAAGAAAAATAATTTTTAGCCTTATGAGAAATTTTTTATACCCAGATCAGTTTACGTAATCATGCAGAAGATGTAAAGCAAATAGGACAAACCAGATTCAGGTAAGACTGCCTGTGCTTTTCTCCATTTCCTTCAAATRAGCTTTATTTGCAAGAACTTCTGGTGCAGATACCTCTTGTGCTGGATGCTCTCTGTGCTCCTCCAAGTGCTACAGACACGTAATTCTTACCGCTTCTCTAGTCTGCACTCACTTACTATTTATATTAAATCAATTACAAGTGTGGATTAGAGCCATAGCTGGTTTGACCGTCCTCCTTTCATTTGCTATAGCAAATAGTTAATGGTTTCGTGACACTGAGAGGAGTGTGAGCACCTACCCCAGYTCCGATGTGCTGACTTTGGCACTACAGGTAGCCAGCAAAATAAACAGCAGATGAACCATAAAACAACCTGGCTCGTGGCGAGTTGTCTCGATTGGCGTGACGGGGACAGAACGCCAAGAGGCACCACCTGGGGAGGAACTTTCTTTTCCACCAAAGCAGGTGTCTTTCTGGCTGATTTCAGTCTTTAGCTGCCTTCTGTTGCTTCTAACAGTGATATTGTCAATATTCTTTGTAATATTGGGTCACTTTCCTCATTACTCAGGCCGTGTCATGTGCTTTGGTGTGCATTAAATGTGACTACATTTCCTCCGGTGTGCTGCAGTGGTTGAAGCTGACCTGGATTGGGTGTGGAAAAACTTAAGGTATCCTTGTTGTTTCCTGAGATGCATCAAGATTGCTTTGCTGATTTCTCTCCAGATTTTTTAAGGACATATGATAATCATATTGGGCTTTAGCCATTATTTTAAGCAGAGGTTCCTTTATTGCCGAGGGAGAGCCCTTGAAATATTAACCGGGGTTGTAAATAACTTCTCAACTGAAGTTCTGACGCAATCCTAACTTGACATGTAGTTTTCATTGAGCAGTTCATTGCAAAAAGAAGCACCCCCAAACCTCTATGTTCTTTGTAATTTGGATCWCTTATTTGTTGTCTGGAAACTATTTTTGCTTTAATAGTTTTGTCAATCAATACAGAGTCTAGGTAGCCAAACACCACCACATTTCTAGTAACAATGAGAGTCTTAAATAAAACCTTTCCTTCACTCTGAGTATGTGCAGATATTTTCCAGTTTGGGTTAATAAGTGAGAGAGAACGAGAAAGTGAGTAGGAATTTGATTTAGGAAATTGTGTTCCTGTTCTTTGACATTTGATGATTCATTGCACAAGCCCTCCAAAAAGGCAATTTTAAGCCTGTGTATCCTATACAAGTGTTCACATGCTGCTTACCAGAACAAAGGAACAGAGACGAGAAGTAAATTGGACAGAGATCCGTGTGTCTCACGTGCACTTGGGCTTGTTGGCAGATGGATTTTCTGCTTTGGAACTACGTGTTGTCACCTCCGAGCTCCCTTTGGGATGGGACAAACATCCATGTTACTCTTGGAATGACTTTATTTCATGACATTTGTTGTACGTCTCTTTTTTTTTTTTTTTTTTTCCCTGAAAGTTTTTAAAGACAACTCTGATCTAACTAAACCTGAAGACATTTGGGCTTTTGGAAGGGATTTTCACTCCTGCTCCTTTCTATGGAGTCCAGGAACCTACCTGACTTTCAGGCTTCTGGAAATTGTCCTTCATAAAACATTTCCCCATTTCTCACAGGGTTCTTTGTGTGCCGTAACCTGAAGGGATTTAGATTCAATGCTTTGCTCTTGGCTTATTTCTACTCAGAACCTTTCTCCGATTTGCTCGTCACTATTTGTATACAACGCAATTTTTTTTTGTCTTTGATGCTACAAAATCAAACACAGACAAAGCAGAGTAAATGGCACGGCTCTTCACTAAATCTCCAGTGATTTGCCATTATAAGGCATTGCAAAACATTGTTGAGAAGAAAAGAGAAAAATCTTTGCGCAGAATAGCAAAGAGGCACCCTCCGAATGCAGCTTTGTTCCTAGGTCCTCGAGGCTGGGATGCACTGGGCAGAGAGGCGGCCGTTCCCGGGAAGCGCTGCTGTGGGATGGGAGCTTTGAATGAGCTGGTGCTGCACGGTCCCGGAGCTGGGCTCATCCCGCCCTGCGAGCTCCAGGAGCAATTCCTGTTTATCCACCGCGTTTTGGTTATGCTGACAGAGTGAGGAGGCTGTTTGGTGCTGCGGGGACCCTGTTCACCCAAGCACCGAGAGGAGAAAGGGACCTGGTGGCCAGGGTGGCCCTGGGAGCTTCTGCAGCCCCGAGCTCCTTCCCGAGCCGCGCGGCAGCAGCTGCTCTGCGCTCTGACTGAAGCATCCGAGCTCCTCTCTATGTAAACGATTTTTTCAAGCACTATGCATGGCTTAAAATATTTTTCAAAGACTTTCACATATTTAATATGTATGTTTTTACCATTCTATAGTGCAAAATACTGATTTTATAGCTTATGGGAAAACAGATACATAATAGTACAGATAGGGGAAATAAAGGTGGTAGATGTTGAAAGAGAACATGAAGTACCCCAGCAATTTTCACCCTAAACCACCACCGCTAAGCTGAAAAGTAGATTTGATTCAGGAGGAAGAGACTATCGAGGTGCAGCAGAAGTAGAACAGACCCAAGCTGGAAGTGGAAGGTTCCTGCTGGGTCCCCTCCGTGCGTTGGTGCAYGGAGACCCCCATGCAGTGTGTTTGTTCAGCAGCAGTAAACAGGAAACCAACTGGCAGTGACAGAAACAAATGACTTACGGGACCGAAAATGATTTGTGATCTCAGGCAGAGGCTGAATATTCTAGCGCCTTAAAATAGAGTGGAGCTAGTGCGTGAGTCATGTCATCTATCGGGCATAAGAAGAGCAGTTATTAGTCAGTGGGACGGTGAAAACTAGCCAGTATTGGAAATACTTGGATTTTTTATTTTATGATTTCTGCTAAATTCCTTGGAAAAAATCCTTGTTTTTCTSGTTCTTCAGCTTAAATTAGAGCAGAGTGATCTACCTGTGAGCACCATAAATCCCCTTGGGAGCCTCGTTTCCAGCAGTTGCAACAGGGGAAGGGTCTTTGCCTGTTCTGTTAGCAAATGAGTCTCTCCGAGCCACCCGTGGCACCCACTATCAAAGAGTGACAAGGATATGGCAGTTTGTACCTGGGAACAAGAGGGAAATCAATCYGCTCTTTCTCACAGTTATTGCTTTTTTTATTCCTTTACTAGGGCAGTCTCTTATTTTTGCTTTTACAGATGTTCACATTAGCATTCATTGTCAAAACACATCTGCTAAAAGATCCCAATAGATCTTGAAATCTCAGGCTTTTTTCTTTCTTTTCCTTTATCTTGGCTGTCGTTTGAATTATTATTTTAATAAGCCAAAATTTGTAAGTTTGCCTGAAGTTTAACGGAGAGTCCTATTTTACCCATCAACATTTTCCATAGGAATGAGAATTCCTTTGATATTTCTGTATGTGTGTGCATCCGTGCAGCTGCTGCAGGCCAGCGCTAGTGCAAAATGGTGCAAAACCRGTGACTTCAGCAAACTGGGATGCTGTGACAGCCCTGCCTATGGCTCTGTGCTGCCTTAGCCCTCTGTGCCTTAGGAGGAGGCATAGGGCTGCTGAAGGGAGCAGGAGAGGGACCCGCCACCTTTGCTTGGTGTCCCATGTGTGTTAGAGGCACCTGGGGCCCTTGCTCCCAGGGGACCATCCCACTGTTGGTTTTAGGGCTCAGATTTTTAGAAGAAATACCTCGGCTTTTTAAGAACTGTTTCTTTAGTGGAACACTTATGACAGTAACGCTTCCTATTTTGCAGAATATTCCTACTCTAATGAAGACAATGGCTGATTTAATATGATTTGATATCGCTGCCTTCAGGGAAACAAGCTCGTCAGCCGGCCTTGCCTTTGCCCAGGCCCCTACGTGGTTGTAATCAGTGCAAGTTGTCCCTTGCTGCCGGTGGAAGTTGATTCATTCTGACTCATTCCTGCATGTCCTGTTTGTGAGGAGCAACACAATAGTAACGGCCTCGGTGCTGCAGACGGCGTGTGCTCCCTCATCAGTACAGTCTCTGCTTCCTTTTTTAAGCATAATAGAGCAAATCCATCCCAGGTCTTGCTCCGTTGACTTTGCTGTGTGGGTAGGGGACAGTAGAGTTGAGCTCAACACGAACAGTTCAAATGGTCTTCAGATGAGCCCAGTAGATGTGTCCACATCCTTCTGAACCGTATCTCAGGCTCTAAGCACAGAGCTGAGAGGACAGCTCTTGGGGCTGCTGGAATTTCCTTTTTAGCAGTTTTCACAGAAGGCAGCGGAAATTCACCTTTTGGCAGGTAAACTCTCCAGTTTGTTCATTTTCTCTTTTCSCCTTTAAGTTGTTGTTAAAAACACTCTTGTTTGAATGTGAGCGCAGAAACAGCACCTGGCCCTATACACAAAGCCATAACAGCTCTGTGTGTGTGTTGAAGTGGATTGCTCCTGATCTAAACCGCTAATGGGGAAATCCTGAGGCTGTTCTTGCATTCCGGCAGTTTCTTCCCTCGTAGCGTATGAATCYTTGCTCCATGTGCTCACAGGTCACTGGTGGCCAGGTCTCCTGGTGACTCCTTGGCAGGTCCCAATGGCCTCTTCACGGTGCCGAAAGATGTTGCAGAGCTTTCCCTGGTCCTCCCCCTTGAAAACCCTCAGGCCATTCTCCCTTCCTCATTTTCATGTAAAACTGAATTTTATTCTAACAAAGGAATTTAAAGTGAATTTGGCTTCCCATTTGTAATGATGCAGACCTGACTGCAGTGAAAGGCAAGGTGGTCATTATTTTACTGCTCAGAAATGTTCCCATTGGATCAGTCTGTCTCCAAAAGGCACGGTACCTGCATCTGCATTTGCTAGCAAGGAGCAGCAGCATCTCCGTTCTCTGCGAAAGTCCTGGTACTTCTTGTTCTTCCCAAAAGCAAGGCAAGGAAATGCCCTGTGCTCCCCTGTAGTTCTTAGCAGAGGATCCTGTTCCTAAAGTTTTAGCGGAGCAGTAAGCATGTAGCCTGTAGAAGGCACTGCACCATGGCTAGGGAACTTCTGTTGATGCCTTTTAGATTAAATTGTGGGGAAAATTCAACAAAAAGGCCACCGTGAATATAACAAAGTATGACTGTTATATGAGGCTGTGTGCTGCAAAGAACACTTTCAATTTTTAACAGGCTGTTAAGAGCTTATGAGGCCTGAATCAAATATGAAGCTGGAATATTCAAAGGGCGGCTTCCAAAAGCAGTGTGACTCCGATCCTCTCGGGTGCTTGTGCGACACAACAACTTTTTAAATCATTTGCCCACTTTTTTGTATGGAGCCAGCCAGGAAGAATAGCTGAAATGGAGATTATTAGTACAGGGGCAAGGAAGATAAATGTTCTTGATAGCACCGTACATATGCTGCTTGTTCTGTGCTGCAGTGGGAACATTCAGGCACTTTCTCCAAAAGAAGCAATTAGCACTTTTTAAATAGCTATATTATTCAGTCAAAAAACAACAAAAAAAAAAATCCACACTGTGCTTACTGCAGTTAGAAATGTATTAGGTTTATTAGGTTTATTCATGATAACAGAATGGATTTTGTTTAAGACAGGAAACAGATAAAAGACTCCAAAACTCAACTTTGGTTGAAYGTCTTTGTGTTTTTCAGCAGTAACTGCATCCCCTCGGCCGCTTTGCTGGCGCCCCGCGAACGCTGTGTCCCCCCGGCACCGTCAC